CCCCAAAACCCCAAAACCCCAAAACCCCTCTTACTTTTAAGATGGTTGAAAATGCTAAAAAATGTTGCATTAGGTTGCTATAGGTAAGGAAGTAGAGGTTTCAATAACATTTTAGAATATAGCATTACATTTTAGTTCATCAGAAACCGAATCCTTTATTCTTCAAATTTTCTTCCATTCTAATTGGGAGCAAATTAGAACTATTCTCATTGAGTTCATCTAATCTTTTAGCATGTTCTGATATATCTTTAGCTTCAAATCAATTAAATTTGAGATTTTTTGAAGCATTTTTATCATCTCTCCTAAAAATTCCATATGGGTTCTGGTCAGATCCATTTCAGCTCAACATACTTGAGCTTGCTAAGTAATGATTAACTAGCGCTTTCGGGACCTTCATACGAGCATAAATTTCTTTCCTCTTCGTGTTCACATAATCATCAATTCTGTTCTCAAAGATATTATACTTAACTTCTCTTATAGTTTGTTTCATACAATACCCATCATCATTCCTCTCATCCACAATCTATAAATCTCATTTAACATTTCCACTCCTACCAAAAATCCCTTCAATCCCTATTTCTTCCAAAAAAACTCAACTACAAATTTCCCTTCTTCACAATTTTTAAAAATGCTCTTAAAAATCTGTCAAATTCCCAAATTTCCTTAACTTCTTAAAATTTTGTTGCTAAATTTCCAAACTTAAAAGAGAACAAATACAAATGTTTACAAAGTTAGTACAAAGGGCTTTGGCTTACCTTTCCGTAATTTTTACGGTTGAGGATTTCGGATTTGTTCAGGAAGGTGAGCGAGGCGGATTTAGAAGGAGGATCTTTGGGGTGGGAGGGTTTTGTTGGGGAAGAGGAGTGTTCTCAGGAGTCGTCTTTTGTGTCAATGAAAAATGAAGGCTTTTGGGGAGGGTGTTTACTGGTAGATTGGGCGGAATCTGATGCTTTGGAGGATAAATTTAGCTCTTTTTGGTTAGAGAATTTGATTTGAAGGTCTTTTTGGGAATAGTATTGGTGATTTAAAGTAAATTTTTCGTTTCTTGTTTGGGTTTTGTATTCATCCTTCATATTTTTATTATTCTATTTCCAAGAAATTAATTAATTGGCTTATAACTGTATCAGAAATTTAGTCGTTAGGAAGAGTCTGCAACAAATTATATTTAAATGCATTAAGATTCTTTGCTTTCCATTAACACTCACATCATTTGCATATAGCTCAAAGAGTGATTGTTTGTTCAAATAAAATCTTCTTAAGTATTTTCTTTGTTAGATTCTCTAAGCTCATAATCAAAGACTTATTACAACCTAATCTTTTATAGTCCTGGAGCTCCTTAATAATAAGGTAAAGCAAATCACTAAAAATATCAAAATGAGATTTCAAACAAACTTATCTGAACATAAACGATACGTGTTTATAAGGGAGTCAGTTTTTATGCAAAAAAATTGAGAAACCCTAAATTCAACATTAGCCTAACTGATTGTGGTATATCATTTAGGGAATGCAGGAATCAACAATTTAGGTGTACCAATAAATCCCTTACATAAATTTGGACAGCTGAATCTGTTCTTTGATATTTCAGTTTTTCTGTTTTCAAGTCAAACTTTCTATTTGTTCTCTCACTGGTATGTTCTCCACGTCTGGAACTAAAAAATATATTCATTAAGACTTCTTTATTAGTTGGAAATTGAAGATTTTAGGAGAGAAATTCTAATGATCTGATTTAATAAAGTTGCAAAAAAACCTTAAGTGCAAAATTTTGAGGAACAATAAATGTCTGTTTAAAAAATTTCGATTCGGGCAACTGTTTCAACTGCATCCCCAGCTGAAGATTCCTTTGGAGAATCAACCTTACCTTGATCTAGAAAGATTTCTATATCTGGGAGCATAACCGCTGGTATATGAAGAATGGGAGTATTCACTCATTTCTATTTTATTTAATCAAATATTTATCTCAATTTCAGAGGTTTCAGTTGGGGTTTTGGGGTTTTGGGGTTTTGGGGTTTTGGGGTTTTGGGG